TAGACACCTATATAAAAATACATTGTAAATAACTGGCTTTAAAAAAAAAAGTAATTCAATTGAGTTTCTTGCCAGTTCTTCTCAATTGGATCTATATACCGAACTGGACGGTAGGGAAAAAATAAAATTATAATGTAAAAATATGATGTTCATAAGCGGCTAAAATGTCCTACATGAATAAATGATTTTTGAATTTGAATTTGGTAACATCTTATATGTATATTGGTATCTAAAATAAACCATAACTTAAATAGTATAAAACAAAGTCGCCACCACTATTTCTTAGATTATATCTTTAAAATTACGCAATGTATTTTAATGCAGTTTTCAGCAATTGATAGAGTGATTCAAGAGGAAGGTTTATATGTATAATACATTCGTGGTACAGTATAGAATAAGCCGAGAAATTCTAAGATTTCTAATAAGAAGCAAAGTTATAATTATTGTTTTAAGGTAGGTTTAAAACAATATTGAACTGTATTATAAATAAATCTTAGTAAATATATTGATAGCAATTACATAATATTTTAAATAATAATGGTAAAGTACACAAAAACGAAATTTTGTTTTTCTTTGCGGCACTCTTTACTATGAGAACAGTAAAGTCGTATGCGTTAGACAGGAGTTGTCCTTCAGCCGTTCCATAAGTCCTTCCGCGGGTTTGGATTGCCATTTGCACTCGCCCCCTATCGTCCGGTGAAGCTGTTAAGACCAGCTGCGGGCAACAATATTAGAATAGTTCGAACAAAACAAATTCATTTAGTTTGAATAAGTAGCAATATACTCACATCTCGTAATGTGAATGTAGATGGATCTCAGTAATTACGTAGGTACTGTGATGTGTCCGTGATCTTTTATGTGCTGTTCAGTTTAATTCAAATCAATTATCATTTAATTGTTTCGTTATGATATACGCCTATTTGTCATGTGCGTGTGTAATTTGCTATTTAGGACATACGAGTAATGTTTTGATTGATTACGCGTAGTTAGTTGTCCATAAATTATGTACGAATTTCAGGACTTTTTAGCCTCTCCCTCCGTGCTTATAACAGGTTGACATATTTTTAAAAACCCCTCCCTAATGTGACGTCACGTTTTCCAATTTTATGGATATATTAAAAAACAATCAAAAGAAAACAGTTATATTCATTTATTCTGGTATTTATTAAATAATTTAAACATATACATCAATTGGAGTGTCTGTTTGTAACATTGAATAACCGTTTTTTACTTTGGTGGTATTTTTTTAATAGATAGCGTGATTCAAGAGGAAGATTTATATATATAATAATACATGTACACATGAAGCCGGGGCGAGTAATGTATAAAAAACCGTACACAAATATATTGGATTGAAGTTAATATCTTATATATAAAATTCTCGTGTCACAGTTTTCGTTCCCATACTCCTCAGAAACGGCTTGACCGATTCTCATGAAATTTTGTGAGCGTATTGAGTACGTCTGAGAATCGGCCAACATCTATTTTTCATCTCCCTAAATGTTAGGGGTAGTCCACTCCTAATTTTTATTTTTATTTTAAGGCAAAACAACGTTTGCCGGGACAGCTAGTTGTAGTATATATATGTAATCTTTGGTATGATAAAATCTATGATGCTTATAATGTACTCTGTGCATTTAATAGAAGCGGAGACTGTATTTTCAAATGGCGGGAACGGCCCAATTAAATTTTAAGCTTTTTATTTAAATGCAGTATACCCACAGTAGACCTGCAGATAATGAGATCAGGATTAACCAAAGAGTGTGATTTAAAGAATCGTATAGCGATTCGACCTTGAGGACGATATTAATTCGGCGCTGGAAACGTGCATGTTTGCCTTGCAGATGCGACGTTTAGTGCCACGCCCCCATGCGCCTGCGCACCGCGACCTTTGCATACATTGCTACCATCATGTGAACAGAATGCATAATGAGTTTTGTTATCTGTATACTTATTATTACTTAGTATTGTTATTTTTTTTTATTACAAGGAAGATAGTGAGATGGAATAGATTTTTTTATGGATGATACGAAATGATGCAACCGCCAGCAATAACGGTTTATGCTGGAGTGGCACCGAAGGAGGATGATAAAGTGAGTTTAGTTAGCTCATATTAGAATGCATAATTATTTTTCTTATCTTTATACTTATTATTAGTTAGCATTGCTATGTTTTTTATTACAAAGGAGAGAGTGAGATGGATTTTTGTTTGTGGATGATATGAAATGATGCTCTCGTTTTTCTCGTTTTTTAAAAAGATGATAAAATAAGCATGAAGTAAGGTCAGTTAGTTCATCTTGACAAATGGCAATTTACCAAGATGTTTTCCAGGGGGAACCCTGTGGTAGTCAATCTGGTTGGTTCATTGCTATTTATATATATATATATATATAATAGATATATGTATTGTATGCATGAATCAAATCAATGTTAGTAATTGTCATATTTTCAATTATAATATCAAGGAAGTAGTCAAGGAAGCGATTTTTTTGTTACTACTAATTTCTCGACATATAAGTCATTTTATATAACTCGATGTCTTGTTATTTAGTAATAATTATATAACTATAAGTTTTTTAATTACTGTATTTGCCAGAATAAATACGGAAATAATTGAATTAATACATACTTAGTAGAATATATTGAGTATTGGGACTCAACAATAGTCCGACGTAAAGTGAGAGAGGTGCCCACTGAGTTCTGAGAACGGCGATATCCGGTGTCCTTACAATGCATAGGATGCTGTGCACATGTTCACAATTAAATGATCCACATTCAGAGGAGACGACAAAATCTATAGAGACGTGTGAGACGGCCTATAACTGATGACTGCTGACTAGTCAGTTACCGTTTGTACTTCTGAAACTCAAATGTTTAAATTATTAACATTTGGATTCTAGAAGTTTTGTCGAGAACAAAAAGAAATTCTATTAAAAATTTTCAACTGACTCTTGTGGTAAACTATCCCAGAAATAGAAGAGCAAGACCTTTTTTAGAACTCTATAGAATAATTAATGTTATTGACCGTAGCTGGCTTTTACAGCTTAACCAAACGATAAACGATAGAAGGCAAGTGCAGATGCCACTTCAAACCCGCGAAAAGTTTTATGGAGCGTTTGAAGGCCAACTCCTACCTGAAGGATATGACTTTAGTCTGAGGATACCGCTAGGGGTTCGAACCTCGCTCAGGACGTCGTAATTTCGATTCCCGTTGGAATTGTACGTACAATCGATCAAAGGGGTGAAATGAGAGCGTGCGTAGTGTTGCATTCACCATTATGAAGTTGTTGAAGTCCCTGACTATTTCATCCGGGTTAATACCCGTGAAGATATTGTTTTGTAAAATCATTGAGAATACAAACCGGATAGTCGTGTCGCCTTGAGCCACATCAGTGAGCCACTTTCTTACTAGGCTGCTAGGTATCGAAGGAATGCGATTGGAATTATGCAAGCGCATTTTCCTACAGTTGTGGATGTAATGGTAAAACCCATACACATTCTAAAGGAAAGATTTTTTTTATCAAGCATTGCATTATTATAACCACAGACAAAAAATAAAACACGTGCAACATTGCAATTATTGGAATAAAAAATAATTTCATTTTATTTCGTTTCATTTCATGTCAACTTATATATATATATATATATATATATATATCCAACAACAATTAGAATTACTGTATAATACATGTATTATTATACAATTTTCGTTGAGGGCCTATAGTCAAGATAATTTCAACAGGTCATACGCACCACTCTAAGAGGGTGCTCTTCGAGATAGGCTAACGCCAGGCTCGCTACTCCTCTCGCCCTAGATCGTCCAGTTTAAACAGGGATCGAAATTACAATGGCCTGAGCTTGGGTTCGAGCCCCAAGCGCTGCCCTAAAGTTGTATCCATTAGGCGGGGTTGTCCTTCAGCCGCTCCATAAGTCCTTCCTCGGGTTTGGGGTGCCTTCTGCACTCGCCCCCTACCGTCCCGTGAAGTTATAAAGGCCAGTTGCAGCCAACAGCATTAGAGTAGCCAGCCCGAAAAAAAAACACATTGGCGTCGCCGCGTGATATAATGTTAATGTGCTGTTATTTTGTTAAAAGAATTCGTTAGATACTAATAATATAGTCATAAAAAATCCAGATCGCATAGTGTTCTAGTTTTTCATACAGTTGGACAACATATTTTCTATTATATTATTGTTGGTAAGGAGCGATTTATGAAATCCAAAGAAAACCGAGACGAATGGATTGACAACGACTGTTCCGCATTCTTATTTTGCTTTCCCCATGAGGTCATCTTTTACGGTTTGCAATGACGCGTGTTCCGATTATAGTAATGGCCAGGAATAATAATGTATATGTAAGAAATATAATTGTAATATTTAAATAACCGATTTTAGACTACATTCATATGAATATAAATACGGAACATACACCAAATAACTTTTTTAAAATTTTTGTGTGTCTGTCTGTTTGTTTCGGCTAATCTCTGAAATGGTTGGACCGTTTTTGATGGGACTTTTATTGGCAGATAGCTGATGTAATAAGGAGTAACTTAGATAGATAGAATATAGATAGAATATACTCTATATGCAACATACAGTAAAGAAAAAGTACAAACAATATAACAAAGAACACATGTATCGTTACAATAAGCCGGCCTTATTGTTAAAAGCAATCTTTTCAAGGCAAGGGAAACGGGTTGAAATATCGAACAGGTAGGTAAAATGACATGAACAGGAGAAAACTGAAATTAATAAATATTATATGAATTAAAATTAAAACGGTTATTTCGATATCACAAACACACTCCAATTTTATTTATATGCATAGTATGTATTGTACACATGTATGTATTTACGAAAAAAAATATCTATATATTTGTATCACTTATCTTCTACCCACAATACAAGAATTAGCTAGCTCAACTTGGGACTAGATGGCGCTGTGTTAAATATCCTAAGATTATTATTATTATTGAAACATGTTTCATTTTTTTATTGAACAGGTGTCGGCATGCTGAAGCACGTGGTGGTGACGCCGCACCGCGCACGCGCAGACTCCGTCAGCCTAGCGTCCTCCGCTTCCTGCTGCAGCCTCGGCAGTCTGGACCATCGCCACGACTCAGTGGCCGATCTCTCCCATCGAACGGTGAGTTCTAAATTTTTTTGTTAAGGCTATTTAGGCATCGAGTCATATTCGGTACTTTAGACTGGTAATACAGCGACCTGTAGAGATCTACTGTGCTCGCCCTTTTTTAGAGGTTACTGCCTAGGCCTGGACTGACTTTGCGATCACTTCGATCCCGTGACTCCTGCAACAGGCGCTTCCTCGGGATATCTTGGAGTTTTTGTGAGTGAGTCTCACAGTTCCCGCTAGCCTCCCTCGGGGCGGGGCTAGTCTCCATGAGGAATTTTCTCCATTACTCGGAAATAGCAGGTCAGGGACCAGAATTGAGGGATAAGAAAATACCGATAGGAGCGATAGTTTTTATTTCCACAGGATAGTGTGTACTGTGTACTTTACAAAGGAGATATTTTGTTTATGCATGAGCAGGGTACAACCATATAGGATGTGTAGTGGCATTTTTTCTTCCAATCGGCAAATGGAACAGGTCACGGTATATGGTCGTACTCTGCTCATACAAAAACGAAAATACTCCCAAAAAATCCATTTCGTGAGTGTTCTATATGTAACTAACTACTCGTCCTGGCTTCACCGTCTGAAGTTCACAATTTACGTGTTTTCTTTTAAGATGTTTAGTACCCATAACACTATATAGCTCTGCTTAGATTGGCACTAGATGGCGCTGTGTACATTGTCCAGGGTTATTATAATTGATGTTATATTCCATCAATGTTGATTTATATTATTGTACTTCATTATATATATTTTTTTTTTCGGACTACTCTAATGCTGGGCAGCAGCTGGCTTTAAAACCGCTTCATTTTCATCATTGACGACCTCGGTAGTCTAGCGGTCTAGTCTACCGCTTTACGACCGATGGTCGCGGGTTCGATTCCTCGCACGGCACAAACATTTGTATTCATGAGTATGATTGTTTGTATCGGTCTGGGTATTTTCTATGTATAATATGTATGTATTTGCGAAAAAAAAAGTATTTGTATCAGTTGTCTAGGACCCATAACACAAGCTTTAGCTAGCTTAACTTGGGTCTAGATGGCGCTGTGTGAATTGTCCTGAGATTATTATTATTATTATTTCAGATTTATATTGTACGCTATCTATTACGTCGACCACTTAATGTTTCTATAATGACAAAGATAAAGATATATCTCGATTCCACTTTCTTAAAGCACGGCAAATGACGAAAATTCCACTCCATTTGATCGAGTTGCATGTGAAAGACAAATTGACCACAAAATGAACCTCGTGACAGGAAGTAATCGTGGATTTATCCACCGATATGCGTTATCTCCGTATTTAAATTTAATGTTTGTGGATGTTATTACAATATTTATTTTTATTTATATAGCAAAAAGTTCCTCGATCCATATCCCTATTTGGGGAAATTAAATTTAGTAGGTGATGTAAAAACATATTGTAAATGAAAAAAAATGTAACATTGTAAATTAAAAAAAAACTCCCACGGGAAAAGAAGGCCTTTTAGTTACATTACATTGTTATAGTAGAACTAAAAAAAACTTGACTATTCAAAAGTGCTTATATTAAGTTTATTTGAATAAAGAATATTTCTATAATTTACATATTTTAATTTTATGTGTATTAGAAAAATGTAATATGTTCTTGGTCTAAATCCTTCGTTTGGAAAATTAAATTTTGTAGGTGATGTAAAAATATATATATATTATATGAAATTATAAATGAAAACAAATGTAACATTAGAAACTCCCATGGGAATGGCGATGATCTTTCAGTAATATGACTTTTTTTATTTTATTTTATGTGTATAGGAAATATATCGACTACTTTATATACCCAAACCTTGGCGTAAATCCATAGTTTGTAAAATTAAATTTTGTAGGTGATGTAAAAAAGTTATTGTAAATGAAAAAAAAAATGTAACATAGTAACCCTAAATTTGCAATCGGTTCAGTAGTTTAGGAGTCCATCGCGGACAAACAACGTGACACGTAATTTTATATATTTTAAAATATAAAGATATTGTGTATATAAATAGGTATATAATTGTGGTATAATGGTATTATAATATAATAAAATTATTTTATAACAATTTGAATTATGTAATAGGTATATATGAGTAACATATAATATAGTTTATTTGTGGTTTCAAATAAGCTAAAATAAGAATAAATAATATTTAAATATATATTTACTATATTCTACCTACCAAGAGAAATACCAAAACCCTATGATTCATGAGTAGACTATGCAATTATACAGTAATTTATCAACATACATACTCGTAATTAAGATAATTACTATAGTTTTGATATACGTAGGTATACGAAAGATTTGATGTCAAATATAATTTAAATAGTTGTGTAATGGTAACCTGAATATATTTTTAATTGTTATCTGTGGTAGAGTGTCCTCTATATATAATAACTAGCTGTTCCTGCGACTTTGTCCGCGTGGCCATAGGTAGTTGTGTGACGCGTGGCGTTAGGCAAAAGTAGCCTAAGTAGTAACTCCTTATTACATCAGCTACTTGCCAAGAAAGGTTTCGTCAAAATTGGTCCAGCTATTTCAGAGATTAGCTGGAACAAACAGACAGACAAACAGACAGACAAAAATTCTAAAAAGTGTACATACATACATATATTTTTTTTTAAACAAATATATATTATACATAGAAAACACCAAGACCGATACAAACAATCATACTCATGAATTCAAATGTTTGTGCCGTGCGAGGAATCGAACCCGCGACCATCGGACGTAAAGCGGTGTGCTAAACCGCTAGACCACTGAGGTCGTCAATACATAGTTATATCTAGATAACACTTGTGAATACCCCGCTAGCGTAAACTGTTAGCGCAGGTGCACCATTCCATTATCATCCTTTAAAAAAAAAAACACTAGGTACACCTCGGCGATGGTCATGATGTTATAACTCTCACGTGGCGCACTTTCCAACGCCCGCGGACAATACTACTTACTTCTCCCAAACCGTACCGCAGTTCACATCTTTGTGGGGAACAATCGAGAAATCATAAGTTATCTCAGTGGGCCATCAAATGTCAGTGTCGCTCCTAATTAATAAACCACTGTAGGTAATAGCGCATGAGTTTGGAAACTGTCGCATTGTTAGATCTATGGACAATACAAACATGGTCTTTTTTTTTTTTTTTATTTTATTTGTTTCACTGACATTATTATTATTTTTAACACAAACATGGTCAGAGGGTTCTGTACAACAATATCAGACCGCATCCAAAGAGCGAGCATCACATTCAAATACAAAAATCATTTTTTCATGTAGGATGGACATTTTAGTTTATTGGACTGTGTGAAAGATGATATGGTAAGAAAGGAAGTAAATAACGCGATGACTGCGAACAGGGATGAATGGAAACGAAAAACATATTACGCCGACCCCAAATAAATGGGATAAGGATGAAGCAGATGATGATGATGGACATTTTAGCTGCTTATGAACATCAATTTTTTATATTATAATGTTTTCACTACCGTCCAGTTCGGTATATACCTAGATCCAATTGAGAGGAGCTGGCAAGAAACTTAATTGAATTACTTTTTTTTTTAAAGTCTGTTTGTTTACATACGATATTTGAATATAAATACGATACAAACACCAAAATGCCATTTTTTACTATTTTCGTCTGTCTGTCTGTTTGTTCCGGCTAATCTCTGAAATGGCTGGACCGATTTTGACGAGACTTTTTTTGGCAGATAGCTGATGTAATAAGCAGTAACATAGGCTACTTTTATTTTTGAAAAAATATTTTTAGAAAAATAAAATTCATTACAACGCGGGCGAAGTCACGAGTACAGCTAGTAAATAATATACACTATATGACTATAAGTATTACCATATTTTAAGCGAGGACAACCGGGCCGGCCAGATGTTTACTGTACACTGTCGTCACCCACGTAATCCACGATTTATTTATAACATGTGCTTGGTAAATCCTTTTAAACACTTAAAGTTATTACTAATATCTTTAGTGACTGTCTACCCACTTTAACATGGTACTTTCCTTTGTTTGTTGTATATGTTATTTTCAAGGATAATAATGAAGTGGTGCACTCGCCTGCGCTAATGGTTTACGCTGGGCACCTGTGGAGGTTGATAGGATGAATATGAAGTCAGGTCGGTTAGCTTAACGTCACAAATTTGCTAAGAATTTATCACGATCCGAGGTCGAGGTCGAGGTCGACCTAATATGGTACATTGTCCTGAGATTATTATTATTATTATTGCTAGCAATAATAATAATAACCTCAGGACAATTCACACAGAGCCATCTAGACCCAAGTTAAGCTAGCTAGAGCTTGTGTTATGGGTACTAGATAACTGATATATATACATAGATATTTTTTTTTTGTAAATACATACACATTATACATAGAAAACACCCAGACCGATACAAACAATCATACTCATGAATACAAATGTTTGCGCCGTGCGAGGAATCGAACCCGCGACCATCGGTCGTAAAGCGGTGTACTTGACCGCTAGAACACCGAGGTCGTCAAATGCAAAAGCAATGGGGACTACTAGTTCCCATTACTAGCCTTTTAGCCCTTATTGCCATATCTACGAGTATATGTATATATGTACGTGTATATATTATTATTAACAACTAGTATTGTAGGGCAAGATTGTGTTAGGGTTTAAAGTTCAATTGCTGGCTCAAATATAGTATTTTATTAACTGACCAATGTAATTATGTGTCTACAATTTTTTCCTAGGCGATACTTGGTGAATTTGTCACGATGGGCTAACCGAAATAGAAATAGAAACAGAAATAACCTTAGAAATAACCCCAATGGTCTTCAGTATTTTTTAAATTTAATTGTTTAAATGTTTTAGTAATTGTAGCAATGTCAATAAATGTAAATTTAAATGTAACCGGACAAGAAACAACATTGTCAATAAGGAATGATTTAGCTGTACTAGGAGAAGAGTCCAAAGAGGAAGTAATATCAGTTGGAATATTAGCGAAAACATTTTCAAAAAT